ATTTTTCAGGATAAGACAGATCACTTCTTGTACCAATGTAATGCAGTTATGATGCAGAATTAGAAGTCCAACTAGCCAGTAATGATGTTTCTATGTTTTATCTTTATCTGCCTCTAAGTCCTCTTGACACTCAAGGGTTATGCAAATGATATGCAATAAATTGATTGGGATGCATGGCCGTGTTAAATGCATGGAATTAAACATGACCATGCATTAAACTCACTATTCATTGAGAATTGTATTTTCTCTTCGTATTCATTGAGAATTGTATTTTCTCTTCGTATTTTTTTAAGAAAATTTTTGTTCCTTACATGAGTTTTGTTCCTTGTAGGAGGAATTCAGCTCTTTATCTCCTCCGCGTTGACAGATTCGTGATCATTCAGAGCTGGATTGATTTAGCAAGTTCATAACCAGCTTAAATGGCACCATCGATCCTGATTGCCACTGTTGTGGATTAATTAGCATTAGCTTTGTGGTACAGGTACACTTTGGTTTTTCCATGGAATAGATAGGATAGTTTTCAAACAACCTGTTAAAAAGATTTTTACTTGCACACTGAAACTCATACAGCACCCTGTTGACTTAAGCTGTTTTACTGTAATAAGGAAAGTTTCCTGGTTGTGTTGTCTGTAGACATCCTGAATAAATAAGTGAGGCTAGGTTTCTTCAGTTACCCCTAGATTTCATTTTAAGAACTTCTTAAAAAATAAAAAAAATCATTATTATTTAATGCGAGAGCCTGTTCGCAAACGTAGGACTTACAAAAATATTTGTATAGTTAGAGTTCAAATTAACCTGAAAACATGACCCTCCCCTGTTTGGTGTTTTAATTTTTGTATTGTCATCACAACATCAGTGCGCCCACTATTCATATTGATATGCAAAGGAACAAATGTGTAGAATAGTTGGTGCAAACTCAGCCCAGATAGAAGTAATGACATAAAAAGTTAAAGGTCCCAGAATACAGATGAGAAGGGGAATTTGCAATAATATCTACATCACAGGATTTTCTGCATTCCTAATCAGTATGTCTTCATTAATTTATTAAGGTATTAAAATTGTTTATTGAATTGTTTTTTATCAGGGTGATAGACCAACCATACCTGTTTAAACAAAACAACTTGACACGTTTGCTACAGCGTAATTAATAGGAGTTCTGAGAATAAAATGGTTATACAAGTTTTTATGGAAAACCATGGGGCGAGGGATCAGACTCTTTCTGTTTGTTTGTTGATTAAAGTGTACGGCAGGGACTGCAGTGAACTAATGTGATAATGCTTGGCAATAATGATTAAAATGATTATTATTCACCCAGTGTGACTAAACCTGATCTATTTCACAGAGAAACATAACAATTAACCGTTACAGAGTTATTCAATAGTTAATATTCCTCAAAATCATAAAATCTCATTAAAACAAGTTTAATCTTGATGAGGTGATGATTTAAATCTGAACGAGAGGTATTATTACTAGGATTAATTAATTAATCTAATTCTTAAGATAATTTTTTTATGTCTTTTTGCTGAGACCTGCAGTGTTCTCTGGTGTTAATTATAAAAGAATTTAGCCTAAATGCTTATGTCATTGCTGGGCGTCTTACAATAATTACCTGTAGATTTGCAAGTGCTGATCTAAGCTGCCAACTATAGGCACATTAAAACGTTGGTTTCAGTTAAAGCCTGCTGCATCAGATTCCTCCTTTTGAGATGGAAAGATAAAGTGTGCCGACAGAAGTTGGTTGATGAGTTAATTAATCTGGAATGAAAGGTTTCTGTTCCTGTGCAACTTGTAGGGGGTTGACGGGAAACGCTGTACAATAGCGTAGTTGTTTCTAGCTTTATAATGAGAACTAGACCACAATGTTTTAATCTTAAATAAAGGATATTTAACTGGAGTGAATAGTTGAATACTTTTTTCCAACAATGAAACGACGACAATGAAAAATCAGTTAACTGATTCATTTCTGTCTCATTTTAATGTATTACCAGACCTTGAATAATGTGTACACACTTATACATAGATCAGGGGGGGATTTACCATTGGGCAATACTAGGGCCCAAAGTACATGGGGGCCCCATAAAACTCTGTTGATATGTATAGTTAATACAACTATTCCTTATTTGTTTTAATTATGTGTTTGATAAAAATCATTTTGCTAAAATGCCATTGAGAAATTTTATAACATACATTAAGTGTGTGTCAATCCCCCACCCTTCAATGTCCACCATATTGGATCAGTCCATTTGCTGCACATGTTCAGAAAGGTCCAAACAGACAGCACCAAACCATTTAAAAAACAAACAGTGCAAAGAGCAGTGTTGCCAGCTTAGTGATTTTGTTGCTATAT